TAAGTTTATAGCTAATTTAATTTAAAAGTTTAAGATTTTAATTTTATGCGATTAGGTCCATAACTCTAAAATTTTATTCTATATTTTTTCAAAATTCAATTTCCCATCATAATAAATTCAAACACTTCTTAAAAGAATTTTTTCATGATTTACATAATTTTTATACTTTTATTTAGGCCTCTACATTAATTATTGAGTTTAAAAATTACATTATTTTCTATGGAAAATATTCCTTATATGTAGAAAAATTCATCTAAGCTTATTTAATATTCCTACACATCCTAAATGATTTTTCTATACCTTTGAAATAATTTTCTTATATCCTTAAAGCATCTAAATTAATTAATTTACCTCAAAATTACTATTTATGCATAATAAAACATAAATAAAATATTTGTAAAATATCAAAAATTTCTTCCAATAACATAGAATAATCTAATATCCCTCTAATAAATATTCTAAGTAAAAAAATATTTTTAATGCTCATACAACATGCATAAAATAACTATTTCACATAAAATCACTATTTATGCATCGTAAAATCAACAAAATGCTCATTAAGCATAGGAAAACTATTTTAACTACTCAAAATATTCTTTCAATCTTTTCTAGATTATTCCATGCCCTTAAAATATTTTTTTATATTTTTAATACTTTTAATTTCATTAAATTTTAGTTTTAACAAGTAACGGGTATTACAACATGTCTTCTAAAATCTAATTCACCCTCTATGTCCGTCCATCATTCAGGGGTGGAAGGTTATACTAAAGTTTAGATTGATTTCCATCACTCGATGCGAGACTCTTCCAAAACTATGATGTGAATCGTGGGTCTCATTTTGAAACAATTGAGACCGAAATAAGATGCAATCTTACAATCTTTCTTAAATACTCGTTCTATCTATTACTGCATGGAGCTAGTGGACTTCACTATAAGAAAATAGGCTGACTTGCTCGGTTTGTCAACAATCACCCATATACTATTAGTTCCCTTCTTGAATCGAGGTAGTCCAAGTATGAAGTTCATAGTGATGTGCTCCCATTTTCATTCGGATATGTCAAGTTGTCTCAACAATCTTAATGGCCTTTGATGCTTGATCTTAACTTGTTGACATGCTAAACATCTTGCTACAAAATCAACAATGTCTCGCTTCATCCCTTTCCACTATAAATTCTTTTTCAAGTCCCGATACATTTTAGTACCTCATGGATGGGTGGAATAGGGTGTGGCATGAGCTTTCTTAAAAATATCCTCTCGAAGCTCTTTAATTGTGAGAACATATAATCTTCCTCGATAGAGCCAAATATCTTCGCTATCGATGGCATATTCCTTAACCTTTCCTTTAGCTACATCTTTCTGAACTTTTATCAAATTTGAATCATGTAGCCATCCATCGTTAATTCTCTCGCCTTATATCGAGTTGTAGTATAACCGCACCTAACATTATATCACTGTCTCCTCTTGGTACCACCTCTAACTCGTAACCCTTCCATATCTTTAACAATTTGGACTCGTATAATCGCCAATGTCCTCCAACTTGAAGCATCCTTCACGACATTTGCTTTACTAAGATGGCGAGTGAAAAGCAATGTCATGATCATTTAACACCTCAAGCCACCTCATTTGCCTCATGTTTAACTCCTTTTGGGTAGAGATATATTAGAGGCTCTTATGATTAGTGTAGATGTCACACTTGACCCCATATATGTAGTGCCTCCAAATCTTTAAGGAAAAAATTATAATAGCTAACTCTAGATCGTGAGAGGGATTGTTCTTCTCATAATCTTCTAATCGTCCGGATGCATAGGCAATGACTCTCTTGTATTGCATAAAAATGCCCCTAAGTCCAATTCTTGATGCATCGATATAGACTACAAAGTCTTCGTCATCCTCTAGTAGAGCTAAAACAAGTGCTTTGGTTAACTCTGAATTTTAGCTCCTATAAGCTCCTTTTACAACCATTATCTCACTCAAATCTAGCATTCTTACTTGTCAATTTAGTAAGTGAAACAACTTTATTAGAAAATCCTTCCATGAATTTTTGATAATACCTTGTCATACCAAGGAAGCTCCTCACTTCGACACATTCTTAGATCGCCTCCATTCTTACACTTCTTGTGCTTTACTAGGATCAACCATCACCCCTTCCTTGGAAATAATATGTTCGAGGAATGCTACGTACTCAAGCCAAAATTCACACTTCTTAAGCTTAGCATACAAATTGTGCTCTCACGAGGTTTGTAGTGCCTTAACTAGATGCTTCACATGTTTCTCATGAGTCTCGGAATAGATAAAGATATCATCAATGATGAATATGATGAAATTATCCAAATACTCATGGAATACTCGGTTCATCAAGTCCATGAATACAACCGAGTGCATTGGTTAACCCGAATGGCATTACAAGAAACTCATAGTGGCCATATCGAGTTCATTCTTTAGTCTAATCGACAACATCCGTAGAAACTTAACAACTCATTCTTCGATGCTTGTTCCCTAACGTTATGGTTTCTTTTTACAAAACCATCATTTCCCTCCGAACCTATATGTTATTAACTTTTGACATCAAATCTGTTTCGACTTGTCGGGTTGTCTTATGTTAGTTATATTTTTAGGTTCCGCTTTATTATATCCTTGGTTTCTCTACGATCATGGTTTTTCATGGTTTCTATTAGAGTTTCACTTTCAAAAATTTAGATGATATCTTCTACAAAAACAGGGAGTGTTTTGTTGATTTGCTCATCTCCAAAGAGTTGACGTCTTGTTATACTTCTAGTAGTACCATGTTTTGTCATTTTCTCCCACTCGTGGTCACCAAAACTTATTCGTTGCTCATCGAATTCGGTCTCAAAGTGGAGTATATTGACATTTTAATTTATGACCAAGAACTTTGTGATGAAATAATATGGGATTTGATTTTGCCTAACAAGCCACTAGAACTTTTCGTGGGTACTCAATTTATAGAAAAAGATTAAATAAAAAGAATGTTATTAATCGAAAGAAATAACATTCAAGAGATAGAGAGAATTTTGTTAGTCAAAAGAGACAAACTCACTCGGAAAAATATATATAAATCATAAATTAGAAAATATGACATTTACATCATTAACCATCGAAACACTAGACATTATTTGTTCACAATCAATGACCGATAAACACTTTCTAAGTTGTAATAACAAAACTATTGAAAGCAATAAAAGCTATCGAACTACTTACGGGAATATAAAAACTAAATGTTACAAGATAAACTAGAGAACTTAAATAAATTTGTATTGAAAAATTCTTGTGCATTGATTGTCTTGATTTTGTTAGTCCTCCTTCTTTGAATAACTCTCGATCAATAATTGTCTTGGATTTAAAGTTAGACGCAAACAGTTATAGATAATTTCCCCTTTGTTTCATTTAGACATGTTGTCTCGTTGAATTTAGCTAATTGCAAGACTAAACGAATCATTTCATTTAAGTCTTACTCGTTTTGTCGAACTTGGTTGGTTATAAAACTAAATGCATCATTTTATTTAAATCTTAATATTTCGTCAAAACTTGGTTGGTTATATGACTAAAAACATCATTTTACTTAAGATTCAATACTTTATTGAAACTTAGTTAGTTATAAGACCAAACGTACCGTTTCATTTAAGACTTAACGCTTCGTCAAAATTTAGTTGATTATAAGATCAAACGCACTATTTCATTTATGTTTCACTGTTTCGTCATTAGAAGATACAATACTTGATCGACTTGTGATTTTTTTTAAATTTTGAAGTGCCAACACCTCTCTTTAAAAGGAAAGTGCTCCATCGTTTTAACTTGAGTAATCTTACTTTTTTCAATATGCTAAGTGATAAGGATGAAGGCGAGTTGGATTGCCATTCCAAATTAAGTTTTTCAATGTTCTTATGAAGATCCACAAGTTTTGTGCTCTTTTCTAGCTTGTCCAATACTTATTATACCAAGGTATTGTTTGGTGTCTTTTGTTAATGAAAGCTAATTCTATGATTCTCTTCGGGAGTAGTTTGGTTATGATATATGTTTTCATGAGTAGCAAACTACGGTTCTTAAGGTTCAAGATCCTTATAGATGGTCATGATGCATTTAACTTTTGCTCTGGACCATTAAATGGTTTGGGTTTTGTGCTTTTTGCGGTTTGGTGTTGCTTATGTCGCCATATTCTTGTTGGGTATATCTTATAATATTTTTAAAATATTAATAATGTTATGATCCCATATTTGTGTGACTTATTATATGATGATTTTTTTTCCAAATGCTAGAAAAAGTAAACTTTAGTATCATGATGAATATATCTCTATTTTAACTATATATTAAAAAACAGAAAAAAAATGTATTTGAAATGTATATTTTTAAAAATAATTTTACATTTTTTTTCAAGATGTATCAAATTTGCTTAAGGTATTAAATTATTCGTTTTATAAGTTATATTATTAAATTGGTTTTTATATAATAATAATAATAATAATAATAAAGGATAAAGTAATAATTTAGGTCAAATAGCTTAAGAATTCTTGATGAAGCAAATAATACAGAAAATAAAAATAACACTTCCCAACCCAGGAATCTGACATTGAGATAAACCAACCAAACGCCATCTAAAATGAAAGTAGTTCATCAATGCTTAGCCAAGATGTTATTTCTCTGACATTTAATGAAGAACACAAGTTGTTTATTGAATGGAATTGAGTGAGAATTAAGGATAATTTTCCGAAATGTTTAGGGAAAATGATTAGCAAATCGATATTTTAATCTCTCTTTTGAACTCGAGATTCTGTGAGGTGCCTTGCCCTTTTTTAATAATAATAATAATAATAAATTTCCTTTCTTTTCTTCGCATTAGAAATAGTGGTCCGAATTGAACCATGCATGCACCTATAAGAAGAGAGGGGGGGGGGGGGGGGGTGTTGTGGAGGGGGAATCAACAACATATATAATTAAATAAAACATCCAAACAAACCCAGTTGGCTTAATTTAAATTGCGATCGAAATCAATCTTCAACTCCAAGTTGAGTGAAATGAGGACTTCGAAGAGCCTCTTGAAGCAGCTCATGATCATCCCACGAGTCACGGTATGTCTCCAAGTTGGCATCAGCATTTACTAAGGCCAATAAGCAAAGTTGTTTCCTCCATTCTTCCAAGTGTGGGAATCCAATATGATCGCCATATTTGTCACAATACTGCAAGCCAAAGCACATTGCAACGTACTTATAACTAGCTAGCTTAAAATACAAGCTACACCAAATGTTCATTCATTGCATGATGCTTACAAAATACTCCACAGCTAGGAGAAGGGAAATTTCGACAAATAGTACTCTTCCCAGCTCATGCTACTGATTGAATTAAATAATTTTTTAAATTTGATACCCATTTGCCAACATCATACAAAGAACATTGGACAATACAGGAATATTTTGAACAAAAATCCCAATTAAGTGAATTAACATGCATGTATACAAAAAAGACTACCTGTTGATCATGACCTTAATATCTTCTACTTAATTATTATCAGTGTTCTACCATTTATACGTTTAGAATATATATATATATATATATATATATATATATATATATATATGGTATCTTAGGATTTAATTTGATATCGACCAACTACTAGCTAGCTTTGAATATAATAGTATGAAAAAAAATCATTTAATTTAAATCCAAAAATTTAATGTAATAGATAGTGATATTTTCAAATAACAATTAATATTGTAGCAAACCGATAATAATTATGAAGAAATCAAGAGGAGTACATACCTCAAAATCTGCAATATCATGTGCATTATGCTTTGGAATTGCAGCAGCATCCCTTGAGCTATAGAACTCCTCAATGGAGTGCATCATTTCATCCCATGATGGCAATGTTCTTTTCCCTGAGAGTAGTTGAGCAATCCATTTTGCTTGGGCCTCAAAGAAAGGGAACCCTATGATCTGAATCGAATGGATGAAATTAAATGCTTAAATATTAATTGGATTGTCCACAGCATTAATTGGAAAGATGTAATCACTAGCTACCAAATAATTAAATAGTAAATTATAAATTAGTCCCTTTAATTTTGAATGATCCCTGATTTTAATAATTAATTATTTAATTTTTTTCCATAATATATATGTCCTCTTCTATTTGAAAAAAAGATAGAAAACATTAAAAAGATAAATATTGATTAGAAAAAAAAAGACATTTTTTAAAATAAAAAAAATATTAAATTAATCATGATCAAGAATAATAAATAAATAAATAAATAATTAGTTTATCAAAAAGTCAAGAGAGGTAATTTGTTTCTTCAACTGGCTAACATATAATTTACTCACCAAATTGATAAACAGTGAAAGTTAATTAGGATGATGGTATAATGTAGCTAGGAAATGAGTATAGAAGGGAATGATGATAATGAAGATGTTTACGTACCTTTCTAGGGATGCCTACAAAAGAGAGAGAAGGCGCAAGCGACGGAGGGAAGGTGTGCTCATACAAGGGTCCCACTCTATCATCATCAACAGCTACCATCCCTTTGGTGTCAAGAAATGGGAAAGCATATGAATACCTACAAACATAATAATTAGTTATATATATATAACCAACAAGCTAGGATATGTCATGATCCCAAACAGCGAGACGTAGTACTGCAAGATTTGCCCCCCTTATGTAAATGTAGGGTCCCAATACTGAAGTATTATCTCACAGTCGTCAAAAGTCATGATAATTCAATCAGCGAACCTTTTAATTGGTTTGGAAGATGGATCTTCTGACCAAAATTATATAAGCCTAGCTAGCCTTTGATCAGTCATCACCTCCCTTAATTTGTGAGCTAGGGACAAAAAAATAGATGCTCCAACTAATAACAAAGCCTAGCTAGCTATACAATTGACGCATATATATATATATATATGTATGTATGATGAATTCTATTTTGGGTTTTGATTTTACCCTGTGCAATATAAGACAGTGTCGGCAATGATGGAAGAGCCATCTACAAACAGAACTCGACCATCTTCTTGAAGGGTCTCGATCTGCAAATTAATCAAATATATATATATGTCATCGATCAGCGAGAAAACTAGCAATTACATATCCAAATATATGCTACCCTGTGCTACGTGCGTATTTTCTAGCTAGTATATATGTCATTATAAGATGGTGAAAAAAATAATAATGGTAACGTCACCTGGGGATGGAGATGCAAGTTGTCATGTTTAGAGATGACTTTAGATAAACCCTCTGTAATATTAAGGGATTTGGCACTCAGGTGGACTTCCTTTGCCACTTCCACAAGCTCCATTGATATATCCTGTCCACTTAGCGAATTTCCCACAACCACAACTATCTGCAGGGTGATAATATATATATATATATATATATAGATTATCATATTAATAATTTGGAGCTAGGGACTGGAAAGGAGAAAGCATGCAGTTTGATTTGCACTACCTCATTGCGGAATGGCTCTGGAACCCTGTAAATGTGACTATGCATTTGCTTCCTTTTCCATGCATCCATCCCTTGAAAGCATGCACGAAAACAAACAAAATCATTGATCAGACATTAAACATAGCAAGAAGTAAAAGAAGGGAAAAAAGAAGCATGGCTAGGGATATGGAAGCTACATAAAAGTTGAGAACCTAAATTTGTTCTAGGCTTTGATTTTTCTTTTTTCTTTCTCTTCGTTTATTGCCGGTAGATATGACATGAGCGTCAAGAAAATTCATGATCTTAGATTCTCTTTTCATTTGGAGGTCTACAGTCAATCGATCTTTTTCCCATTCTCTTTTGAAGTAGTAATATTGGAGGAAGAGGTATCGTTTCACAAACCTTTAATGGCCGGCAACCTAGGATGGGAATAATGACCAGTAGCCACAATAACTGCATCGAAAACCTCTTCCACCACCACCTCTTCTTCATTGCTTTTCACCTTGCTCTTCACGATCCATTTCAAATCTTTCCCGATCTCATCATAGTCTAACATCCCTACGTAGTTTACTCTGGTGTTAAACCTTATCATCTCCCTTAAACCAAAGTGCTCGCAAAAATCCTTAAGGTACAACCAAAGTTCCTTATGACCAGGAAACCTCCTAGTGTCTCTACCTTTCTTCACCAAAAATGGGAAATCAGTGAAACCCATGATCTCCCTTGGAGATATTAACCTAAGAGAGGCATAAATACTACTATGCACTTGTAAAAAATTGTTCTTCCCTAATGGATCCTCAATCTCTACATTGGGATCATATAACCATTGACCACCAACATCATATCTTTGTTCCAAAACCGCAACCGTGTGACCTTCTTTTATCAACTCCCTTGCGGCCACTAGCCCCGATGGTCCGGCACCGATAACGCACACTTTTTTTGATAGGCTCAGCTGAGAGACCATGGTGGTCCAATTTGGTGGCAAGGATTGGTGAACTGTCAAGAAAGAAATTAAAACGAATGATCAAAAACGGGTTATCGGGTGAAATATGTTTAGGAGTGCAGGGAGTTCTTATAGTTGCTGAGGGCAGAGTGTTTCATGGGAGCATGGTATTATTACTTTACTTATAAACTAAAACGCGTGATGGTTTTACTGCTCGAATGAACAGTAACCATCACGCGATACTGTTCACTTGAACATTTTTCCCCTTTTTTTTTTTCACTTTTACTTATTTTTTTATTTTCTTAATTATTTTTTTATTTTTTAATTTTCACCCTTAGTTTTCTTCTTAGGTTCTTTTTTAAAATTTTAAAATTATTTTGTTTTCATCTCTAAAATTTTAAAATAAAAATTTTAATCCCTAATTGATGCACAAACTAAAACGAATAGTGGTTTTACTTGTTTGAATGAACAGGTAACCATCGCATGATACTGTTCACTTGAACAGTTTTTTATTATTACTAATATTATATATATAGAGAGAGAGAGCTAAGAGTATATTGTAAATAGTTTGGCTTAAGTTTTTTAAAAAATTAATAATCGATTAAAAAAGTCATAAGTTTTATTTGTTATTTTATATATATTTATTCAGAATTTATTATAATTAATTTTATTATAGTTTTTTATTTTAATATATTGACTTCAATATATTCATACAATTTAGTGAGTCCGGTCTTTTTTTTCTTCATATATATATATATATATATATATATATATATATATATTATCATGTAATTAGGTGCGAAAAATATAGAAAATAAATCTTTTTTTTTAGTTTTACGTACGGTTTGAAGAAGATAGAATATATATGATATTTTTTAAGATTTTAGTTTGAACATATATATCTGATTATATTACTCTTATTGTTTAAAATTTATTTCTTCAATTATTTGTTTCTTATTAAAATTCTCATCAAATTAATTTTTTGATATAATTTTATTTATTAATAATTTTTTTTAATGTATGAATTTTGAAATAAAATTTTAAAACGTTTGTGTTTTATATTTTAAAAATATCTTATTATAATTTATTACTTATAAACTAAAACGCGTGGTGGTTTTATTGTTCGAATGAACAATAATCATCACACAATCTCGTTCACTTGAACAATATTTCTTTTCCTTTTTTTTTTCTTTTTTCTTTTTTGTTTTTTACTCAACCTTAGTTTTTCTTTCCCTTCTTTTTTAATTTTCTCTTTTACTTATTTCCTTATTTTCTTAATTCTTTTATTTTTTTTAATTTTCACCCTTAGTTTTTTTCCTTAGGTTCTTTTTTAAAATTTTAAAATTATTTCATTTTCATCTCTAAAATTTTAAAATGATGCACTATATGTCTCTTTTTTTCTCATTAATTTATGTTCTTTTTTTATTTGATTGAGTGTTAAAATTTTTAAAAATCGATTGTTATTTTTTTCCACATAGGTCGATAATGTACTTTACCTTCACACTATACTACTCAATTTTAGTTTTTTTTTTTTTATTAAAAATTTTTCACTATTACTTTTTTTCTTTTTCTTTTTTTCATTTTTACTCTTATTATTTAAAATTTATTTCTTCAATTATTTGTTCTTATTAAAATTCTAATCAAATTAATTTTTTGATATAGTTTTATTTGTTAATAAATTAGGTTTTCTAATTATGAATTTTAGAACAAAATTTTAGAACGTTGGTTTTTTTAAAATATATTATTATAATTTATATAATAATTTATTTTTATGCTTTTTAAATGAATGTTTTATTTTTAAAAGAATATATAATTATAATTTATAAATTCGATTATATATATATATATATATATATATATATATATATATATATATATATATATATATAGGGAGAGAGAGAGAGAGCTAAGAGTATATTTTAAATAGTTTGGCTTAATTTTTTTAAAAAATTAATAATTGATTAAAAAAGTCATAAGTTTTATTTTTTATTTTATATATATATTTATTCAGAATTTATTATAATCAATTTTATTGTAGTTTTTTATTTTAATCTATTGACCTCAATATATTTCATACAATTTAGCGAGCCTTGTCTTTTTTTCTCTTCACGTATATATATATATATATATATTATCATGACATTAGGTGCAAAAAATATAGAAAATAAATCTTTATTTTTTTTTATTTTTACGTACAGTTTGAAGATGATAGAATATATATGATATTTTTTAAAATTTTAGTTTGAACATATATATCTAATTATATTACTCTTATTGTTTAAAATTTATTTATTCAGTTATTTGTTTCTTATTAAAATTCTCATGAAATTAATTTTTTGATATAATTTTATTTATTAATAATTTTTTTTAATGTATTAATTTTGGAATAAAATTTTAAAACGTTTGTGTTTTATATTTTAAAAATTTATTATTATAATTTATAAATTTTGATTATATATATATATATAGAGAGAGAGAGAGAGAGAGAGAGAGAGATAAAAGTATGTTTTAGATAGTTTGGCTCAATTGTTTTTAGAAAATTCACATGTTTTATTATATATATATTCAGAATTTATCGAATCAATTTTTTTGTAGTTTTTTTTTTTTAGTCTATTGACTTCAATATATTTCATACAATTTAGGTGGTTTTTTTATTTATATTTTTCTATTTATTCTATATATTCTAAATCTGTCTTTATATATATATATATATATATATATATATATATATTTATTAGAAATTAACTATTGATATGCACACATAATACCAATTCTTTATTATTTATTTTTTATATTCTAAAATTTATTTGTTTAAATGAAATAAGTTACATAATGTTTTAAATGAACTTTTCAATTATTCAAATACAAAATTTTATGCTAATATATATATATATATATACGAACCGATTTTGCTTAATACATAGATTCGATTTATATTAATCATCGAAAATAAAAATTTTACTTGCAGTATATCATACGAATCGTTAACACTACGTTTATAAAGGGTGCTCGACCGCGATGTAACGCCGGTACGAATCTAGTCGTATTCTAGAAAACAAAAGGATTTTTTTTTATTTTTTTTAGAGATTACTAAGCGAGCTAGTAAAAGCTAAAAGGGTAAAACCATCCCTAAATTTTAAGTTATCTATGGTTGAGTGTATCTCAATCTTTTTATTGATTTTAAAGATTTGTGAATTTTTAAATTTCTGAAATTTAGTCCGTCTATTATTTTCTCTTAAAAAAATAATTTTTAATATTTTGAAATGAAATTTTGTACACATATTGAAAAAAAATTGAATCCATTTTGTAAACAAATTCTAAAATTTTTCAAAATAAAAAAACTATTATTTTTATTTTTCAAACATTAAAAATATAAAAAATTAGAAAAATAAAAAATAATCTCTTTATATATATATATATATATATATATATATATGTATGTTATTGAATGACTTTCATCATAAAGCTATTTGTTATGATAAATGACAAAAATTTGAATAATAGACTAAATTTGAAAAAAAAATTCAAAATATCCAAAACCGATAAAAAAAAGTTTAAAAAATCAATGTTAAATGAATTTAAAGTTTGGATGTTGTTAGGTTTTTTTTTTTTATTCTGATATAAATTCACAATTCTGCAAGATGTAAAAGGAAAAGTCCAAAAAAAAAATTGTGATAATGATGTTGAATAAATAAATGGTTCGCCGCCTTGGAGACACGCATGACAAATCAAAATGATGATTCGCTTTTCCAATAAAGGTTTTACAAAGTTAATGTTGATAAATAAAAAGGTTACGAAGATATACCATATTTTATAACCACACAAATTAATTTTGATTTTTTCATTTCAATTTTGAGTTTCGTGTATTTATACTAACAAACAAAACGAACCAATCACATTGTTCGAATAGCTATTATAATCATCTGTCAATGTACGTTACAAAATCTAAGGGCTTTGATGTTGGCACAGAGAGAGCACGTGAAGATAATGGAAAGAGAGTTTTTACATTTTGACTTACAGAAAATATACAGAGGATCAACTATCCGCTAAACTTACATAGTCTGTATTTATTAGAAAGCCATACGTTTACTTATACTCTGTTAAATGGGTACCATATGAAGTTGTTTTTCCAAACTTAATCTAATTAAATTAGGCTTAATTACGTTAACAAAATACTCACATGTTGTTGTGGATTTTTTTTATCTACCTCAATTAAGAGAATTTTGAAATAAAAGGTTCTATGATATTGTTGGAGAGTAGTCTAAAGGATAGTCTATTTTCTAAACTCTCAATTAGACGATTAAATAAATAAGTAAAGAAATTAAATTAGATATTAATAAAAACAGTATATCTATTTAAAACATAAACTAACTTTCATTTCTCACAATAATTAATTAAAAATTCAATCAACAAGTTAATGAACTATGATATATAGAACTAAACGAAAGTAGGAATTTATAAATACTAAATTAAAAGTCTTTACAAACAAGGTCGACACTAAAAGCATAAAGAATGCTGAATATGGAAGCAAAAGCATAAAAAACTACAAAATGGTGGAATAATTGAGTAAACACCAATTGAATCTCCAAACATTGAGAAATGGGATATGCTTGAAAGATCATACATCCCATGGAGGAACAAAATAAAACAAAAATTTTCTTCATCTAAAGAGCTCAAAATCATGCCGTTGAATCAATTAACCATACATTCATAAATTAAAGTATTAAATAAAGAATTACCTCTTGTAGCACGATTTAAACCTTTCTAAAAAAGAATCGTCTAAGTTTTTGATTTCTATCGATAATTCACGCGAGTCCAAGCATCACACAAGTGTTAGTCAAGGTACCCAAGATCCAACCATGTTTGGATGTGTTTGAGTTATTGTATCATTGCGTGATTTACGATAAAGTCTTTCTATTAATTCTTGTCATTTACATTTATTGATTGAATAAGATTAGATAGAAGTCTATATAATATGCATTTGCATTAGTGATTGATCGAAAGATGTGAGACAAAGACTA